CGCTAGCCCGCACATGCTCGCGCGCGCAGCGACCAGCTAGTGCGGCGCGGCCTACGCGGGCGGGCGCCGTATCATGACGGCGGCGGCGATTGTAGACATTGTTATGAAAGTAGCGATGATGGTGGCGATGGTGGCGATGGCGACGGCAAAGCCAATGACGACGCCGATGTTGATCACGCACGCCGATAACAATGACGATCTGTTCGCGTTAGTGGTAACAATTGCGGAAAGAATTCGGCAAACGCGCGCGACCGACACGCGCGGGTGTCCCGCGTGGCATGATTTGACACGGCTCGTGCCCCCAAGCACGCGCGCAAGGACGTTCGGATGAGTTCGACATGCGGCCCGAGAGGCTCGTTGGCAGCATTTGATTGCATCGTTGAGGGAAAACGCACAAAAAAACGGTTCCCAAACAAAATTCGCCAGCGCGCGCGCACACATGTTTGGAACAGTGGTGTTGCAAAACTATGTGTTGTTAAACGTGTTCGGAACAATCGTTTTCGCCATCCTTACGAACCCCGAGTTTTGAACAATGTCGGCATGCGCGTGCGACGACGCGCGCGCACTGCGCCCCATGTGTTGCAAATGGTTTTTGCGGCAGCACGCGCGCAGGGGACGTTCGAACGATGTCCCGCGCGCGGGAGGCTCGATTGGTAACATACAATTGTTGCAGCAGAAACATGTTTTCATACGTTCTGGGGGAACTTTATTTTGGAGGCCTGGCGAACCACAGGTTTTTAAAAGGACTTCGGCATGCGCGCGCATTTGTTCTCCAGAAAAGGAAAAGGGGGGCGAATTCTGGCCTGCCCGTGATGGTACGAATTCATATTTCGGACGGGCGATGGGGCATACTCATATGTAGATTGCACATCCCCAGGGGGCAATGCAATTGTGGCCTCGCCAGAGTGATGGATCTGTCTTTTAACAACAACAAAAAGGAACCGAGGTTGTACAATCTATGTGTTGAAATCGATGTTGTGCGATATATGTGGTGCAGTCTTTGTCGTGCACTATGTGGTGCATGCAACGTATGTTGTACAACGCACGGGGTGCAATCTACGCGGTGCATGTTTCGTGCCATCGTTGTGGTGCAGTTTACATGATGTAATCTACGCGGCGCAACGCATGTGGCGCAGTCTACGCGGCGCAATTCAGCCTGCTGAACATGAAGTTATCAAGTCCACTGCTCGCGCACTCGTTCCACCCACTCACCCGCAAATCGGTTTGCAACACCTCTGCTGCGGCGATTGCGGTGGTTGCGCGGCGCTGGCTGGCGCATCGCTGCGGCCGCGCTAGCGCGCGCAGGCTCGCGCGCAGAGCGGCCAGCTAGTCTGCCGAGCCCGACGCGGCCGCGGCAGCGCTTACCGTGCGGGAGTCCCCACCGCGTCGCGCAGCGCGGGCATTTCAATGCGAGGTGGTGACCCGGGCGGGCGTCGTATCATATGACGAACCAACAACACACACCCATACCCATAAGGGGGTCGGAGAGGGCTATGGGTGCGTGTTGTCGGATGGGGGCCCCCGCTCGAAGGGGAGCGTTCCCCAGGGTCGACTACCCGCACCCATACCCATAGCCAGTCCTCCTCCCAACGACCCCCCTATGGGTATGGGTGTGTGTTGTTCGTTCGTCATCATAGCGACGTCGACAGCGGCACACGCGATGATGATAGTAGCGATGTTGGTGGCGAAGATTACGGGGACGACGGCAAGGCCAATGACGGCGCCGATGCTGATCATGCCGATGACGACGATGGTGTCCACGTATTCGTGATGAGGGCTTTGGAAGGATTTCGACGTGCGCGCGCGCGGCCGCCGACGGGTGCGAGAGACCAGCGTTGTATTATTCAACAGGGATCGTGCCCTCCCCCTCTCAGCAGTCGCGCGATGGCGTTCGAATGGCTTCGACATGCAAGCGCGAGATGCCCGCTTGGTCGCATCTGATAGAGGATAGAGGTGTTGAAGACCATACGGTTTCATAGGAATTCGCAAGTTCGCGCGCACATGTGCAAAATACTGTTTTTTGTTGTTTGCATACGTTGTCGGGCCCTACGAAACCTAGGGTTGTTGAAGAATGTCCGCATGCGCGCGCAACGATGCGTGTGTCGACGTCGCCTCATTATGTTACAAAGGGTTCTTGAACTCTAATGTTGTTTTGGTGCGCGAGTGCGCTCGCAGAGTATAATTTGTCAGGGGTAAAGTGCGTGCGATACCCGTTTGACTGAGATGGTGCGGGTTTATCTTTGAGACGAGCGACGAGTGCAACACATATATAAATTGCAGCATCCCTGGGGGAGCCGCGAATTCCAGGGAGGGGGAGTAGATCCTGAGCATCTACGCGGTGCCACTAAGTTTAAAACATTTGGAGTTGTTAACTCCACTGCTCCCGCAATCATCCCACCCACCCACCCGCAGCGTGATGGACAAAACCTATGCGGCGGTGATCGCGACTGCCTGGCGCTGGCTAGCGCATCTCTGCTGCCGCGGCGGCGCACGCATGCTCGCGCGCACAGCGGCCAGCTAGCTTAGCACAGCCGGCGCGGCCGTGGTGGCGCTCACCGATGGGGACTTTCCGGCGCGTCTCACAAGCCGCGATGGAGCGCGGCCACTTCACTGCGAGTCAGAATTTCGGGCGAACGCAGGTCGCCAACAGCGGAAACGATGATGATGGTAGCGATGAGGGTGAGGATCGTGACGATGACGTCGGCCAAGCCAACGACGGCGGCGATGCTGGTCACGCCGATGACGATGATGGTGTCCATGCGTCGGTGATGAAGGTGTTGGGAAGATTTCGACGTGCGCGCGCGCGGCCGACGGGCGCGAGTGGGCGCGAGTGGCCCGCATGGTATTAATTGACAGGGGTCGTACCCCCCGAGCAAGCGCGCAAGGTCGTTCGAATGATTCCGACGTGAGCGCGCGAGCGGCCCGCTTGGCTGCGTTTAGTGTAAATGGTGAAGACCGATGGTTTTCGTGAGAAAATCGCAAGAGCGCGTGCACACACACACATATATATAGAGAGAGAGAAAGAGAGAGAGTGAGAGAGAGAGAGAGAGACAGATCCACTCACATAAATCCGTAAGGAGCTTTGCGGGTTGGCGAGGGCCCCGGGCTCCCCGAGCCCCCCAGGGAGCCCGAAATGGCACCGGAGGGTCCCCGGAGGGCCCCGAAACGGCACCAGAGCTCCCCAGAAGAGCCCCGAGACGGCCCAAGGAGGCCCCGAGACGACCAACGACAGCCCCGAGCTGACCCACAACGGCCCTCCGACGGCCCAAGATGCTCCCAAGACGGCCCCAGAACACGCCAAGGCGCCCCGAGACAGCTCCAAGCGGAAACCCTACAGGGCGCCACGAGGCCGAAATCGTAGATTCCTTGTGTTTTTTTTGTTGGTTTAACGAATTCTGAGATTCTCGCGCTCTCGAGCGTCTGGACCCCCCAAGACGGCCCAAGAGCCCTCCAGGATCGCCCCGAGGTGGCCCAAGAGAGCCCAAAGACAGCCCAGGAGGGGTCAAGAGGTCCCCAAGACGGCCCAATAAACCCCAAAGAGGCCCCCAAGATGGCCCAACAAGCCCCCAAGAGGCCCCCAAGACAGGCCAAGAGGGCCCCGAGTCTGCCCACGAGGGCCCCAAGACGGCCGAAGATGCTGTCAAGGCGGCCCCAAAGGGCCTAAGACGCCCCAAAGGAGCCCCACGAGGACCCCCAAGAGGGGCTGAAGAGGCGAAAATCGTCGATTTCACGTTGGTTGTCGATCGCACACCGCAGCTTGTTGGCATTTGCGCACCACAGACAGAAGCGCGCGTCGGCAAACTTCGACTCACACAGCTCCGTGTATTTAATCCACGGTCCACTCGAGTATATCTATGTATATATATGTGTATGTGTATATACACATACATACATGCATACATACATACAGGCAGATGTATAGACATACCTACACACATACACACATGCATACATACATACATACGTGCATACGTACGTACATACAGTCATACACATATACATACATATGAAAAACACTGCTACAAATCATATGGCTCATATTTTATAGCAAAAAAGTAATATCGATCTTGAAACCTGTACGAAGCCTGAGGTTGTTGAAGAATGTCGGCATGCGCGCGCCACGATGCGCGCGTGTCGACGTTGTGTCAGTGTTGCAAAAGGATTGGTGGTGGGATTTTTGGTGTCAAACGAATGCGCGCGCATACTGTCATTTGATAGGAATGAGGACGGTCGATGACGTCATTCTTTGGGATGGCCTCAATCCATCTTGAAAATGAACGATTGGGCACAAGTGTATGTTAATTGTATTATCCCGGGGGGGGCGATAAAGTTGGGGGGAGGGGTAGATTCGAATTTCTTTTCACACGGCGGCGACAGGCGGCGACGGCGACCACGGAACCGCCAGACCAGAAGCCAGGCCTAAACGACGGGGAGGCGAGGCGGCGACGGGGCGGCGACGGCGACGACGGAACCGCCAGATTGTCACCCAGGCTCAGTTGACGGGGCGGCGACGGGGCGGCGACGGCGACCACCGAACCGCCACACCAGCACCCAGGCTCAGCTGACGGGCAGCGACGAGGCGGCGATGGGCGACAAAGGAGCCGCCAGACCGGCACCCAGGCTCAGTTGACGGTCGGCGACGAGGCGGCTACGGGGCGGAGACGGCGACAAAGGAGCCGCCAGACCGGCATTCAGGCCCAGACAACGGGCGGCAACGAGACGGCGACGAGGCGGCGACGGCGACCACGGAGCCGCCGGATTGGCATCCATGCCCAGACGACGGGCGTCGACGAGGCGGCGACGGGGCGGCGACGGCCACCACGGAGCCGCCAGATTGGCACCCAGGCTCAGTTCCCTTATCTCATAGACAACGAAGGAAGGACTTCTAAGGTTCAATCACATGTTGGGGAATTGGGATCGGTGAAACGATGCTCACACATTGGGACATCGGTGCGCCTGGGAAAACTGCAGCCTTGGGTTGAAGCATTATCCATTGTGCGTGTTCTTCGGTTGGGGTTCTCGAAATCCTCGATGGCCATGCCCTGATTTGGGGGGCCCTGACCATATGCCGTGGTCTCGTACCTGCCAGAGTGGCGTTATGAGGGCGCGAACTGGGACACGATCAGCGAACATTCCTCCCACATTCTCCTCTTCTCGCTGGAGCCCGACCCGAAGGGCAACATCATTGCCATGGACCGTCTGCCACGCAGGGAGCTGATGTTGCAAGCAAGGGCCGCTGCGACCAGGTATGGTTCGAAGCTCATGATATGCTTCGGGGGAAACGCTCGCTCCAATGGCTTCTCCCCTATGGTGCGCAAGCGCAAGCGGAGGGGACGGTTTTTGGAGCGGTTAGGGAAATTGATGGAGAAGCACAGTTTGGACGGGGTAGACTATAATTGGGAGTATCCCGGTTACAGCTTCGGCAAGGGATATCTACCCGACGAGGAGATCAGATTAGACTACAAAGGCCTCAGTGCTCTCATTCGAGAGACCAAGGATTACGGGCGTGTGCATAAATATGTGAAGCGATGGCTGAATCAGTGAGCTTCTGGGTAATTGAAACTCACACATGCGTTCATGTTACATCCCAGTCAAGGTGAAACCGATGAACGCCATGGGAGACCAGGGGAACACAGCCAATAGGGATTTTGCGCAACATGCCTCCAAGGAATTCTTTGCCTCGAGGGGCACGCCGAAGGAGGTGACGATGGCGTACTACCCAGACGGGCGACAGGAGGAGCTGATCAAAGAATATGGGATCGACCAGCACGTCGACTTGATGCACATGATGAGCTACGACCAGACTGGACGGGGTGTGCACCACAGTACCTTAGAGTACGGCTTGAAGACCGCAAAACAGGTTGACCGAGCCCGGGGGGGAGAAAATACAGCAGAGTTTTCGACAGCAGGTTTTGTGGGATCCGATCGGCCGAATGATGTGTCGAGGTGTCCCCACCTCGTTGTTCACCGCCTCTTGTCTCAGGACCTGTTCTGTGGCAGAAAAGCACCTCCATTGTTTGGAGGAGTACGTTTGAGCATGTCTGCATGCTTTGCGCTCTGGGGGGGGGGGGGGAGCTACTCCGTTGTTGGTTCTCTCGCCCGCGGCCTGGTCGCACAGGGGGCCGAGATCCTGCCACCGTTAAAGCTGACGCTTGGCGTGCCTTTCTACGGTCGCCACAGCCTCACGGGAGACTGGGTCACCTACGAGGACCTTGTGCAGCAGCACCACCCTCTCGGGCCGGACGTGAATCATGTGCCAGTAGATCCTGAAAAGTTTGGCGGTGAGGCGACCCAGAATTTCAACGGAGTGAAGTGGATCGAAGAGAAAACTGCGTTTGCGTTGCGGCACGGCTTGGGCGGAGTCATGATTTGGGAGGTGGGTCAGGATTGCCGCCTTGTTCCCGTGACACACGGTGCCAAAACACATGTCCGCACTTGTCCAGAGGATAATGCATCCTTGCTTTTAGCCATCACGCGCGCGGCCGTTGCTGCAGGGCGCGCCAGAGAGCAGTCCTCCGACGTGGCACTGCCAGGCAGCACGAGCGGCGCGAAAGGCGCGGACGAGTTGTGATTGTCATGGCTCGCCTCGTGATTCATAAAATCGTCCGGGCGCGGGCGGGCAGGCAGTCACAGGATAGTCTCTTGGCGGAGTCCGCCGAGGGGGGCGGACAGTCGCACGAGCGCGGAGGAAGAGGACGAGGACGGGGCGGCAATGTGGGGGTAGTGCGATGGCTAGGGTTTCGGTTGTCACGTTCTGGCGTCACCGTACCACGAATCGTTGTCCTATGTTCGTTGCTGGTTCCCTCTCTCGGCCCCGCGCACAGTCAGAGAGCGCAGGCACTTATTAACGCGAGTTCACACACGAACCCTATGCCCCTGGCGCTCGCACGGAACGTTTGTGCTAGTTTGAGGAGGGTGTTGGGTGAGACAAGCTCCTCGTGCAGATTGAAACATTGATCGAGCAGGCGGTACGCTTCCACGAACATAGTAGCCCACACGTGTCCGGTGTTGAACATGGCAATATTCGCAGGTCCATCTCTGCATGCGTTCAGCCTCCAGTATGTCCTGTCCGGACTTCATGCGGATCTGTTGCTCATGATACTATCCCAGAGTAGCAGAATGTCGAGAACCGCGAGACTACAGTACAGAGGATAACCTGGAGACGGAGTGGCCTCTTGTAGGGACGAGGGGCGCCCCTCGGCATTGCTCGCTAGCTCTTCCTCCTCGTCTTCCCTCTCATCCTCCTCGTCATCATCATCTTCCTCCGCATTAGTATCATGATCCTGTTCTACGCGTGCTCGCTCACCCCCAGTGGGGAATTGGGCTAGGAGACTTTCGGCGGTGCGCTCGCAACCATATCATCCCAGGCTTTTGTGTCAATGGCGAACCGAAGCGGGGGAAAGCGTCACCCATCATAGAGACGAGGACGAGCACGAAGGAGACGTAACCCAAGGCTGGTCGTTAGCGAAGTAGCGGAAACGCCAGGGCAACGATGAAAATATGGTGGAGGGCGGAAGCCACCAGCCGTGCTATTACATTGAAGCCTTCGACGAACAGGAAGGAGAGAGGGGGAGTTAGGATGAGGAGGAGGAGGAGGAGGAGGAGGAGGAGGAGGAGGAGTTGGAGAAGGAGGGGGCGGAGATGGAGGATGATGGTGGGAGTTGGAGGGAGAACAGCGGAAGGCTGGAGGGAGAATTTGGTGGAGGGGAGATCCGCGAGCAGATTGCAGTGGGAGGTAAGAACAGGAGTCAACCGCCGCTTGTTCAGACGAACCAAATTTCATCACATGCGAGACCATCGGCGTCCCCTGCCACAGCGCCGCACCAAAACAACCACTAAGGGGACAATTGTGCACCTCTAGGAGGAGGAGGAGGAGGAGGAGGAGGAGGAGGAGCAGGAGCAGGAGCAGGAGCAGGAGCAGGAGCAGGAGCAGGAGCAGGAGCAGGAGCAGGAGCAGGAGCAGGAGCAGGAGGAGGGAGCAGCAGCAGCAGCAGCAGCAGCAGCAGCAGCAGCAGCAGCAGCAGCAGCAGCAGGCAGCAGCAGCAGCAGCAGCAGCAGCAGCAGCGGCAGAGAGGAGCAGGAGGAGGAGGAGAGATTGGAGACGGTAGAGAGAGGAGAAGGGAGGAGGGAGACAGGGCCGCCAGAACCCCAGGGCATCCCGCCAGACCCCCCTTGGAGCCCCCTCGAGTTCCCCAGCGCCCGCAAAGCCATTGGAAGCCTCCTGTGGCCCCCATCCATCCTCCTCCCTCCGCCTTCTTCCTTCTTCCTCCTCACCCCCTGCTCGTCGCTCTCAGGAGAGGGGAGGGGGGGGGGAGGCGGCCAGGAAGGGAAGACGCAGCTAGGAGGAGGAGGAGGAGGAGGAAGAGGAGGAGGAGCAGGAGCAGCAGGAGGAGCAGGAGGAGGGAGGAGGAGGGAGGAGGGAGGAGGAGGGAGGAGGGAGGGGAGGGGAGGAGGAGGGAGGAGGAGGGAGGAGGAGGGCGGAGGAGGGAGGAGGAGGGACGAGGGACGAGGGAGGATGGACGAGGGACGAGGGACGAGGGATCAGGGAGGGAGGGAGGGAGGGAGGGAGGGAGGAGGAGGAGGAGGAGGCGGAGGAGGAGGAGGAGGAGGAGGGAGGAGGGAGGAGGGAGGAGGGAGAAGAGGAGGAGGAGGAGGAGGAGGAAGCCCATTTGGCCTCTGGCGATCTGGGCCTGCGACCCGATCGATCGGTCAGGGTCGATCGGCGCCTGCCGCCCGATCGATCCCGCCTCGCAGGCCGATCGCGAGGCCGGGCTCAGCGCGCCGCGGATCGGCGATTCGCCGCCGCCGCTGCCGCGCCCTGGCCCTTGGCGGCTGCTGCGCGCCTTCGGCGCGCCCAGGAGGGGCCCGACGCCCGAGCCCGCCTGGCACAGGCGGCAGAGGGAGCGCCGGGCGTCGGCGCGGGCCCTTCTGCGCGTCGTGAGGGCGGCCGACCTCCTCAGCAGCCACCACTCCGCGCAGCAGCACCAGTGCAACCAGCAGAACGAGCTGCAAGACTTCGAGACCAGCGAGATGGCGACCAACACGAAGTCTCACGGCCATCCAGTGGGGGCCAAGCCGTGGCCATGGAGGTCAAGCACACCAGCATCTGGATCCTCGTACCGCCGACACCATGGAGGGCATGGACAGCAGCAGCCACGGCACCAGCCCCAGCACAACCAGCACCACCACACCTCCCACCACGACGAGGATCAACAGCAGCACAACGACGCCCAGTACCAGCAACAGTATAAGTACGACTACACGACACCGAGAACGAAGCGGCACCCCTCGAGAAGACGCCACCAAGCCCCCGAAGACTCCACAAACGACCACCGACAGTTGCCAAAGCTGACGAAACGACAGTTGGAGGTCACAGAAAAGGTAATGCCCGCCTTGCTTTCGGATGCCAAGGGACACGAAAGCTTTTCTCTTCCTCCCGACGAGCCAGACATACGTAGGGTTTGGCACGCCACTAAGGTGGCGCGGATGGCACGTCTCGCCGACCAAGTCCACGGAGCCAGGCAAGCCCAAGTCGACCCGACCCGCTTGATCGAGGAGCTAGCCATAGTCAAGACCATGATACACATGCTGGACACGCCGACGGCTCGCATTTCACAATACAGATCCCAAGTGGAGTCACGGATCCAGAGACAGCAGACCGTCGAGAGCCAGCTCAAAGACCTCAATAAGGAGCACGACGAAATCAAGGGCGAGATTGCATCCCTCAGGGCACTCATCTCCGAGGCCAAGCAGTATCGAGAACACGCCGAACTTTACGAAGACAGTTGTGACGGGGACGGTGAAGATGATGGGAGACAACGTGTCAGGGGCAAGACACCACACCCCGAGAGACGACAGCGGACACCAATTCGACAACCGGTGCACGAGCCAGCGCCTGCTTCGACCACCAACGACAACAGCGACCTGCGGAAACTCATTGACGTGCTGACGAGGAGAGTGGATGAGCAGCAGCGCAACCACGGAATACATCAACATCATCTGGCGTTTCTCCACCATGAACGAGCCGAATCCGATCAACACGAAGCACAACGTCAACTGCAGACCGAGCAGATCCACGAGCTCTCGCAACATCTACAACATTGCCAGGAACAATTCCAGCAAGCACAACTCCAACAGAGACAGTCGTACTACGACGAGATCCAAGTCTTCCGACAGCGCGAAGAGCAGCTCCGACAAGAGGCTCGCGAATCCATCACGGAGAACGTCGCTCACTACCAGCAGAAGGAGGCCTACCTGCGCTACCAGCTCAAGGAGGAAGAGTCAGCGCACCTCGCCACCTTCATCATTCAGAGGAAGCAAGAGGAAGAGACCTTCAGACATCAGCTACACGAGAACGCCGAGATCATGGTCCAACAATATCAACAACGCTGCCACGAACAACAGCAACGTCTTCTTTCCGAGAAAGCCCAGGCACAGCAGGACATCAGCAACATCGCGAGGCTTGAACAGAACCAGCTTCAGGACGCCAAGGAACTACTTTTGGAGGAGTTCGGACAGTTTCAGGCTCAGAAGTACCGAACCTTGACAGCCCAGAGCGAGTACAACAGCGAGATCGACAGGCTTCGAGGCACTTCTCGCGACATGCAGCGCTTCGAGAACGAACTCCAGGAGCAGCACCAACACCAACTACAGGAGCATCTTCAGCAACACAGACAGGAACGCGAGCGACTGCACTGCGAACTACAGCAGGCCCACGAGTTCGGCACCAGCCTCGACGTGGACATCCTCAGGGAGCTCGACACACAACTTCAAGAACGAGACGAGGAAGACGCACGACTGCAAGCCCAAGCAGATGCTGAACAAGCACAAATCGACAAACAGGTACAAGCCGCACTCCACCTGCTGACCCCACCGTCTTCCTATGATGACTCGGGCTATCAACTATACCTCAGAAACCGCGGCAGCAGCAGCGGAGGACAGCCCAGCAACAGAGGACAGCGCAGCAGCACACCACCACCACGACCGACACCTGCGATGCCAACCGCCACTCCCACTGCGCGACGCCCATGCCACGACGCCGACGACGCCAGCGTGCACACCCCAATCCCAGCCGACGACGACGACCTGTGCAGCCCAACCCCTGTTGCAAGTGACGCATATCCCTTCCCTGTCCCTACGCCATTACCCACCCCCGCCTCGCTCACGCCGATCCCCACTGAGCAGCATACGCCCATCAACTTCCACCCACCTGACCCGCCAAATGACCGACCCAGCTCAGCGCCACCACCACGCACCAGAAGAACAGACTCAACTCAGCACAACCACCCATCCACTACTCTCCTCATTGACATCACTTCCGACGACGACGTACCACCACCTTCCACCCCAGTGCGCATTCCACTAGCCGACATATCTCCTACCGCACCGATGCAGCCAATCCAACCACCACCTCGCTTCCACCTCGCCACGCCCGACCGCGCCACATCCGCTCCTCCGCCCCGCACAGCTCTCCGAAAAAACGGATCATCTAGACGAGCGGCCAAGCCCAAGAAAGTCCGTATCTGCGACATCGGAGACGGCTTCGCAGATCCAGGAGACCAAGTGCCAACCTTCCTCAACGACGAGGAAGCCCCTGCGGTCAACTCACCAAAAAACTAACGAGGCCCTCACCCCCTGGGGGGCAACTGGCCCAGGGGGAGCGGCCCAGCATCATACCAGAAGACTGCCTGTGCAACGACGGCACTTCCGACTCCTGCAGTGGTTACGCCGACGACGTCAGGCGCCGACTATTCGAGCCCCTGGTGAGCTCCGATCCACCATACGACACTTCACAAGTTTCACCTACCCTCTCATCAGCCAATGGCGGCATGCGCGTTGGGGAGAGCGCACCTCCAGATACTTACGAGCATGGCGATATGTGGGAAATCCACACACCGCCCAACATGCGACAGCCTAGTAGTGGACCGTGGACCATCCCCTCGGCCTCTACCTCTCGCTTGGGGAGTGCGAGAAGGCTGTCTCACACAGATCACACAGAAATGCCCCGCCAGATTTTGCTTCCCACAAACCCCGCACCAACTACGCTAGCGGACCGACCAACTACCGTCACCCGACCTCGACGGCAGCATGTCGACTCACATCCTCCACCAGCGGAAGCCCAGTCACGGTCGCTCCCGACGATGACGACGCCACCGCCTACGCCTCGAGAGGAAGCATCGCTTTGTGAGCACGACACGGGGGGGGACCCCCCCAGTGGCTGCAGCCGTTTGGGGCAAGAACGACAAGAACCACCAACAAGGCATCGACGTACTAGCCATTTTGGCCATGATGGCGATCGAGACCGACAATTTTGTGATTCACCGAGCCGGCCATGTACATCAACTTCTTGCCGGCCACCACCTCCCATTTTTGACTCCCTTGACGCTACCCAGATCCCACACGGACAAACAGACCTGCCGAATGCGGAGAGCCACGAGGAAGTACGGCATGTTCGTTTCTCCCGCGAGGTTCACACCCGCGACCAGCAGACCGACAATATCCTCTACCACATCGACTTCGACGAACAGGAGCCCTTACTCCAGCACCTTCGACGACTTCAGCCTCCCAGGCTTACCTTCGACTTTACCGACCGTTGCCACAACGAGGTTTCAGAGTACATGGTGCGAACATTTCCATACCGACAGCTCCCACGAGATTCTCGCCTGCATTTATACACAGACGGCTCCAAACATCCACGCCAACATGGTCAAGACGGATGGTCAGTCGTACTCGTCGGAGAAGACGAAGAAGGTTTCTCTTTTCAAGGCGCAATAGTCGGCAAGCACCGCGACTCCACCCTCATAGAGATCCAAAACCTCACGGACAACGAGACCACCTCGACATCCAGCGAGATCACAGCGCTCATCTGGGCGATAGCCTACATCATCCACAAGGACATCAACCACAGTATCTCGGTCCACTCCGACTCGCTGGGAGCGATCCAACTGGCCAGGATGGAGGCCTTCACTAATCGGGACGCCCACCTCGTGCAGCTACTGGTGATCATGTATTCGCACGTCAAGGAATATGTCGACCTGTGCCACGTTCACGCCCACGAGATGAACCCGTGGAACGAAGTTGCCGACGCCGCAGCCAACTACGCCCGCATCGAGGACTACCCGCACCCACAACCTGAATGGGCTAACATACTCAACGCGTCCCCTCAGCGCAGCTGGGAATTCCTACTCGATGCCGACAACCACACCAAAGACGCTTACCCATCCTTTTCACCTGGGATGCTCAAGGCCCAACGCATCGATACCACGGCAACGGCAGCCCACCTTACGACACCAGCCAAGTCCACGAAGACCTCGACCGAGATAGACGTCAACGTCGCCACCTACAACATCCAGTCAGGGCGCGAACCTGGCCAAGGCGCTCGAAGACGAAAAGAAAAGATTCACAAGCTCAGAAAGACTATGCTCAACCTGTACATGGAGGACCTCCACCTGATCGGCATCCAGGAAGCACGCACGCCCTGGGGAGTTCGCAGCGGCAACGACATCACCAGCACGAGTGCGTACGCCTACCACGTCATCTCAGGTGGCCACGACCAGTACAACCTCGGCTGCGAGCTCCACATACTCACCAGCAAGCCGTACGGAAAGGCAGGTGCCAAGGACCTCTACTTCCGCCCCGATCAGTTCACCGTCATCGAGCACAGCCCTCGACACCTAGTAGTAAGGATCGAAGCCCCAGGCTTTCGACATACAGTCTGCGTCGCTCATGCACCACACTCACGAGCCAAGCCACACGAGAAGGATATCTTCTGGGAGATGATCGAGTGCGCAACTTCTAACCACAACATCGACATCTTCTTCATCGACGCCAACGCTCGAACGGGCAGTTTATGCAGTCAGGCAATCGGCGATCAAGGCTTCAAGCAAAAGGAGGACGACAACGGCGAACGATTCCACAAGGTCCTGCAAGGTAACTCTCTCATAGCCGCGAATACCTTCAAAAGCGGAGGCCAGGACCACTACACATGGGACTCAGGCAAGGACGTGCACAGACTGGACTACATAGTGGTTGGCCACGAGCTCTTCGACTCTACCTCCTACACGTCCGTAATGTATGGTATCGACACAGAACACGACCACTCACACAAGAACGACCACTTCCCTGTCAAGGCTAACCTCGCCTATATCGTCGAGACCACATACCAGCACGGCACGCCCAAGCTCGACATCGCTAAGCTCGACTCCGAGACAGCCAAGAACGACTTTCAACGACGCCTGCAGCAGATCCAACACCCCCCCTGGGAGACCAACCTCAACGACCATACTAAGAGCATCGTCGATCAGATAAAGGACGCAGCCTACGCCAGCTTCAAGAAGCAGCATCATGCCCCACGCAAGCCCTACATTACCGAGGCCTCATACGCGCTTCTTCGCTTTCGACGCACCCTCCTCAAGACGATCCGCATCGTGAAAAGGAATGGCATGGGCTCCAAGATATCACGCAGACGGATCCGATACACCGCGCACCTCATCGCAAACCAGACGGCTTCAGCGTCCCCTGACGACGTCATCCACCTCATGGACATCCCTGGATATACTCAGCTGATGATCAAGACCATCCTCTTTATCAACCACGCGGACCCCGACCAGACTACGGCTCCATACCACGACAGCACCCACTGCACAACCACCTTCACTACAAACCTTTTCGACTCATACATGAGCTTCATCAAAGATACCGACAGAGTTCTTAGGAACCGCCTCGATCACGACCGCGACGCCCACCTCGAGCGCCTCTCCGACAACATGATACTATCAGCTGCAGGGAACGCCCCGCGGCAGGAATGGGCAAACGTGAGGGCATTACTAACATACGGCGGCCGCACACCTAAGAGAACTCCGACTCCCAAAATACGACAAGACGATGACGGCGCTCCACTTACAACGCCACAAGCCATTGCGGAGCACGCCCTTCGATACTACGGCAACATAGAGAACGGCATCAACACCGACATCGAAGGCGTCGTCAAGTACTACAACAACAAGACTGCCCACACCAAGCCGATACCCCACATCGACAACGTCCAGACCATCCACAATCTGACATCCGCCCTGGCAGCCGCCAAGAAAGGCAAACGCGGCGGGCCCGACGGGAACACCGACGACATGGCACGAGCAGCGCCGCGCCAGATTGCCCGACTTCTGCACCCTATCATGATGAAGATGCAAATGATGACGACGGAGCCTATTTCGGCGAAGGGCGGTTTCTCCACCCATTTCTCCAAAGGACAAGGACAGCTTCATCTGCAGAAAGCATACAGGGGCATCCTCCTGAACAACACTATAGGAAAGATCAACAGCAAGTTCCTGAGAGGCCTCTTCCGCGACATCCTACCCGACCTGCTCATGGACACACAATGCGGCGCCGTCCCTCACAAGGCGACCGACTTCATCACTCACACCGCCTACACTTTCTTGGACGACTGCCGTACACAGGCTCGCACGGGCAGCATCCTCTTCCTGGACTTGAAAGAAGCCTTCCATTCGGTAATAAAGGAGTTCATTTTTCAGCTGCCGACTCAGGAGGACGAGCTCGAAGACGTCATCGACAACATCGAGATTCCCATATGCCTACTCCCATCCCTACGACAACGTCTTCGCTGCCCAGCACATCTCAACGCCCACGTCGACGACTCTCACCTCTGCGCCCTAGTTGCCGACCACCACACGGCCAACTGGATGACCGCCAAGGGCACCGACGCATATGTGATCCCTCGCACCAGTACCAGGCCAGGGGTGCCATACTCCGACGCAGCTTTCAACATGCATTTCTCACTGGTGCTTCAGGCCATCGCCGACGACGCTGAAGGGGCAGAAGACGGCGAAAGCGGCCACCACATCAGCCCCTGCGACAACCCGCTCTTCTCTACGGCCCCTCACCAAGGCGGCAAGCTGACCAACATGTCCTTCGTCGACGACCTCACCGACTTCAACTCGACCACACACCACTCCGACATCATTGACATTACGAGAACTTCAGCTGAACGTCTATGCCGTACAGCCTTTACATACGGGCTCAAGCCACACCCAGACAAGACCAAGGTCATCATCTCCTTTAACGGGACGGGCTCCAACGTCGTGCGCAGCAGGCTTGCACAGCAAAACATTACATCAATCAAGTTGAGCATCATGTCGATCTCGGTCCAAATCACAGACCAGCACCGACTATTAGGCACCATCATAACCAACGGCAGCATGGGCCCCGAGGTGCAGAATCGCATGCAACGAACCGACGCTTCGGCACGAGCTCTGGAGAGGCAAATCCTAAGACGTCGACGCCTACCCCGCAAAACGAAGATCAAGTACGTGCACGCCCTCTCGACTGCCTCATTGACCTTCAACCATCACGTCTGGCCAGCACTGACTCAGACTGACCACCAGCGCATATCCAACGCCTACTCGAAGCCCTATCGCACGGCAGCTGGATTACCCAAAGTTAACTCGCAGCTTCATCATTTCACGGCCACCGAAGTAGTAGCCTACACCGGCATCCCCGACTTCGACCACCACCAGTCTGCTGGACGGCTGCGATACTTACCACGGCTTCTACGACACGCTCCTCAGCAGCTCCTACAACTGCTTGACAACCAGCGACGGAGAAAGGGCTCATGGACATACATGCTTTTCCAGGACTTCGACTTCCTGCGCACATACCTGGACGACCAGCGCTGGCCCACGACCAGCAAGCTCGACCCCGACATCATCGCATGGGCTCGCACCACGCCGAGGCACTTCACCAACTCCGTCAACCTGGCTGTCACAAACTACATCCGCGCCTCTAAAGACAGTGCCCACGCCGACAAGCTGACCAAGGTGCTCAGACCAGACGGCCCCATCGGGGCGGGCACCACGCCATCACGTGACAACGGCGACAGCAACTTCATTTGCTACGAGTGCGGAATAGTAACCAAGACAAAGCAGGGCATGGCAATACATATCGGACGGGAACACCGACGACCTGATCATCCGCGAAACTGGGCATCGGGTACATCGTGCAGAATATGCCGCCAGAACTTCCACTCCTTCGCCAAGCTAGTGAAGCATCTAACCACGGTAGCCCGATGCCGACGGTCATGGTATATGTGGTATTTACAAGGACCTGCCCTCACTGAGGAGGACGTGGCCACCAATCAGGCGATCTACGCGGCCAGCATAGCCGACAACAAACGCAGAGGCCGCCCCGAACTATACCATCCCATCCCTGCCCACGCATCCGACGTCACCCCATTACCCTCCCTTGACCTATCACCTTCACCACCGCCCTTTTTCCCGACTGTAGCAGAACTTACACCACCACCACCAGCCCACTACCCTCGGACACCGACCAGAAACAGATCCCTGCTTTACCTCACCAACACCGATAGACACCCGAATGATCTGCTCGACATCACGGACCAACGACTATGCTACAATGGAATGGTTATGGAACTGGCTACTATGACCTTCGACGATCTCTACTCCGCCGAACACCCATCCCAGTACGACGCCCTTGACTTGATCCACCAGCACATTCGACAGGGTGACTTCGCAGGAGTTACGATCAACCTCTCACCCAGCACTTGGATCGACCAAGGTGATGGCGACATCCACGACAGAACGGCAGCATCCTCCAGAACAACCTCGGACCCATGGGGAAGAGTAAACCTTGGAGGCAAGGCAGCGGAACGTCGACTGATCGCGAACCACCATGCCCGCCTAGCCATCCACATCTTCCATGCCGCCCACATTGCAGAAGTACCTGTACTACTAGCGCAATCCGCAGCCCCAGCGGGTCCGTCGCTGATGTGGACGACCGAGCAGATGCACTACGCTACGGAGAGAACTGCCACGAGAAGACCGACCAGGATTGACTCCACCAGCAACCTCTACGCCATTTACGACGGCACCTCCCACGAGCACAGCAGCCCACTCGACGATTTCGTCGACTCCGTCTTGAGCAGCCTGCTCCCTGGAGGTCGGACTGCAGCCTGCAGATCCGACGACCCGAGCTGGCCGTAACAGGGCCCAAGAGCTTCGAGGCGGACGCCTACCGCGGCAAGATGACCGTAGGGATCAAGGCGGCCGCCGACACCATCACGAACGCCCCCTCAATGGAGAGGGGGGGGAGGACACGGTCCAGGCGTGACCTGGGCCGCCGCCCGCGTGAAGGCCTCATGGGGGTGGACTCCCTTCCTCCCCAGGCCTTTAATGAGCCCCCTCCCCCCGCCCCGCTTTGCCACCCCCATGTGGCCTCTCCCTCTTCCTTCCCTCTGCCCCGAAACTCCTGGGCACCCTTTTTTTTCTCGGCCCCTTTCGGCCCCCGCCCCTCCCCCTGCGAGGCCTAGGCGGCTTCTCACCCTTGCCCTCCTGGCGGGGGCCCGTGTCGGGGGGGTGGCCCCCACTGCGTGCCTCGGGCGCGCGCGCGCGGCCGCGGCCGCGCGAACGGCTTCGTCTATTAGACATCGAGCCGCGAGCGAAGCGAAGCGAAGGAGGAGGAGGCAGTCGGTGCCGATGATGAAAGCGCACCCCACTGCGACCGTGCCCCGCAGGTCACGGCGGCCTACGCGTGCACGGCCGGCGGGCGCGGGCCGTGCGAGCAGGCGATCTCTCGTGCTGTTGCTCGGGGGTGGGAGGGGGCGGCATACAGTGGAGGCCCGTGCCAAGAAACTCCCTGCTCGCCTCCAGGGTGCTGTGGGTTCCTCGGGTTTCGATGGTTCCGCGATGGAACGCGTGACGTTCCCTCGCCAAAAATACATGGACGTCCTGGGGCCTCAGGGTTGGGTTTCTTGAGGAAGGTTTCTTGTGGTCGGGCCCCTACTGTAGCTTACGGCCGGACCGAAGTGTAAGATCGAGGTCGGTTCGGGGAGGGTACCCTCATGGTATTCGTGTTTGTTGGGTGCTCGTGTGCATCCTGGGGGTGGCCCTCGAGCGATCTTGTGGTCTGCGGCGTTTCGGCCAGCGGAGGGTCCACTGTCCTTGCAGGACGTCATTCATGGGGCGAATCACGTTTTAAAATATACGTTTCCGCCGTCGGGGACGCCTGCCCCCCAGGCAGTTGCAAAGTTTATACCCCCACGGTGCCACGTAGGGGTATAAATTTTCCAGCCGCCCAGGGACAGGCGCCCCCGACGGCGGGAACGTTAATGTTATACCGTTATTCGCCCGCTAAGTTCTTCTGTCCTAGGTCCGGCCGCACAGTCGGCAGTGCCGCCTGTGCGGCTGGTCTCGGCACGCCACATCAGAACACGCCACTTGGCACGCACGTCACTCGACTTGGTTTCTGATGTGGCGCGCCGACTCGGCACGCCACATCAGAAGCCAAGCCGCCAGCAGGCGCACCACGGAAACGGATCATCCCCCGATGGCCCCGCGGACCTACGATAAGCCCTGGGGCACCTCGGGACCCTCAGAAAAAGTCGACGAAGAGTGTGCCCCAAGATTTCTCACAGCGAGGTGTGTTTTTCGTATGTGTCAAATGTACCCATCGGTCGTTGAAAGTAGGTCTATTTGTGGATTCCCAGATTCCGATCTGCTTTAAGCGCCTTCCTACTTCAGTGATCAAGTGACTTCATCTTTTCCGTTCCCCTTAGGGGGCGAACGGAACCCAATCTATTTTCAGCGCCCTCCTTCTTCATGGTTCTACCTACTTCTTCCGACCGATCGGCAACCAGGACAGGCACGTAATTATCGGAGGTTGGGGGGTGAGATCGCAGTGGAACGGAGACCCCCAACCGGGAAATCGTTTCGTTTCGTTCGTGTCGTGCATGCGGGCGAGGCGAAGTTGCGTGGGCGCGCGAGGGGAATGAACCCGCCGTTGCTAGGGCGAAGTCAAGACAAATGATTCTCCCCCGCCCGCCCGCCCGGCAGTGGCTCGCGGTGTCCCGCGGTGTCCCGTGGTGTCCCATGGTGTCCCGTGGTGTCCGCCGCTGCTCGGGCGAAGTCAAGACAAATGATTCTCCCCCGCCCGCCCGTCCGTCCGTCCGGCGGTGTGCGATCGATACTGAGATCGATGTGGTGCCCCGAGGTGTCCCGTGGTATCCGGTAGTGTCCCAAGAAGGAGATCGATATTGAGATCGATAGTGAGATCGACAGGTGTCCAGTGGTGTCCCGTGGTGTTCCGTTGAGTGAGATCGATAGTGAGATCGATAGTGGGATCGATAGTGAGATCGATGTGGTGTCCCGAGGTGTCCCGTGGTGTCCTATGGTGTCCCGTTGAGTGAGATCGACAGTGAGACCGATAGTGAGATCGAGAGGTGTCCTGCGGTGTCCCGTGGTGTCCCGTGGTGGCCCGTGGTGTCCGGTGGTGTCCCGTGGTGTCCTGTTGAATGAAGTCGATGAGATCGATAGTGAGATCGACAAGTGTCCCGTGGTGTCCCATGGTGTCCCGTTGAGTGAGATCGATAGTGAGATCGATTGAGTCAGATGTTGGTTCCCCTCCCTTTCCCCCCCACAACCTCCTTATCACCCGAAGGGTGGTCGTAAAGGTAGAACCGAGGTTGGCGTCGAGGGCGCGCAGGTTAGCGCGCTTCTCAGGCGATCGCAAACATGGATCGATTTCCGCCGCCGAGCGAGGCGGCAGCGGCCGCATTTGGGGCAGGGCGCCTCCCCCGATCCATGGATTTGGCGACCGCGCGCCAAATCCATGGATCGCTAATCCATGTTTGCGCGCCCCCCTCCTCCTCCTCCTCCTCCTCCTCCTCCTCCTCCTCCTCCTCCTCCTCCTCCTCCTCCTACCCTTTACCTCTTACCTCTGACCTGGCTGCGGAGGAGGGTCCATTGAGAACCTCCGAAAAAGGGAGGGAAAGACTTTAGGACCGCCTCCATCGAAGGAGGGAATTTTGCAGCTAATGACAGAGGTTCCATCCCCCTGCCAGCAGCCCAACAGGAGGCGACCCTAAGGACGATCAGTCAGGCCATGCCTTGAGATCTGGGGGGAGCTTCCCCGCTGAAAGATGCCTCCTCCTCCTCCTCCTCCTCCTCCTCCTCCTCCTCCTCCTCCTCCTCCTCCTCCTCCTCCTCTATCTCCTCCGCCCCCTCCTCCTCCTCCTCCTCCTCCTCCTCCTCCTCTTCCTCCTCCATCTCCTCTTCCATCTCCTCCTCCCCCTCCTCCACCTCCCCCTCCTCCACCTGCTCATCCTCCTCCTCCCTCCCCTCGGGGGCGGCACAGAAGTGGGCAATGACTAGTAAGAGGGAGATCATGGCGAGGGCCATGATATCTCCCCAGATGTCATGGCGCCTCTTCTTCTTTCAAGACGTCCCCGGCCCCCCTCCCTAGGCCGCGCACATGCCGCCGGCCATGATTTGCGCCCCCCCCTCTTTGGACACCCCCTCTTCCAGGGACCTCCGGTTTCCCTGCCGGGGGTCCATCGCCGATCTATCGGCGATGTATCGCCGATTGCAGCTCGCATATCAGGAGGGGGAGGTGGAGAATGAGGAGGACGTTCCTTTTCTTCCCTGCTCTGAGGATGGGATTGCAGAGCCGTTGGCCAGCCCTGTTCAGGGGAAGATGGGCATTCCAATCGTGCCCCCACTTAGGCGTTGTTTGTTTGTGGCCTGTCCTTCAGCGAGTTGCTCGAGCAAGGACGCCGATTGCCAAGTGGTCGTCTGGCGTCCGGCTTTTGGCCTCCCTAAGTTCTGGCAGCGCAGGTCCTCTGTGCGGTCGCCTCGGCCGGTTTCGCTGGGTGCCCCCGTCTCAGGCCCCCTTTTGGCGGCGGCGCGACGAGCTCGTGGTGAGGCGTCGGCGGACACATCGTGCCCCAACAAAATGGACCACAGCTCGCTCGGGTGTCTCATCCGCTTGTCGAGAAAAGCACGGTCAGAAGCCGTGGCTCAGCGCGTCGCGCGGCCAGTTCTGGCCCGCCGCGCTTCGGCGCGACACGCTGACCACTCCCGCATTCCCTTGGCGTCAACGCCCCGAGCCTTTCCCGGCCTCCCGCCACGCGGAGCGGCGCGACACGCTAGCAGCTCGCAGGGCACGGCGTGTCACCCGGGCCGCCGCTGCGCGCCACGCTGAGCAACAGTTCTGGACCGTAGCGCCAAGATTTTCAAGCAAAAAACAAACAGATGCCTATGTTAGCTTCGCCCTTCCTCTTTTCTCTGGTCTCCTTCTCCCCCCTCTTGCACTCCCACTGCTTGCGTGTGGCACCAGTGCAAGTCTCGCTGGCTGGAGCTAGCTGGTTACGCACGCGCGAGTTTCCCTGTTGTGGGTCGTGCCTTGTTTCACTATTCTTCCACCTTGGAGCTGCTTCCTGCCGGCGTCAGTCTTGCTAATTTCGGCCACGCTAGCAGGACATATTGCTCGCATGGTACTGGTCTGCCGGCAGTGCCTCGCATTGCCCAGCATGTGATCGGCGTCTCCTTCGTTCTCGTCCTCCTTCCCTTCCTCCTCCTTGAATGCGGGTGACGTTTACCCGGCCGGCCACTTCCGAGCTCTGCTGCTATATTCCTACAGTGCGTTTCTAGCCCGTGTCCGCTCGTTTTGCCAGGGGGCGGCAGCGCCTCTTAGATGGGTGCGAATATAGCCCCCATGAGGGGAAGCGGATTCAACACACAATCGGACAAGGGGCAGAAGTTGTTGGGCGTGTGCGCTGGTGGAAGAAGAAAAAAAAAACAGACACAGTTAATCGTCAATCCCCAAGGAAATATGGGAAACTATGGAAAGTGGGGGGAAGACAAAAACCTAGAAGCTATGAGCAAATAGAGGGATTCCTGGGATATGTGTGTATATTTCTTTGTGTGTCCCTGGGCCCCTTGAAGTTGGCCTTGACGCCTCCCGCGCCTCAGCTGGCACAGCTTGCGTGATCGTTTGCGCCCCCACGTTTATGATGTTCCAACCTACTTTAGCCTTGAGCACCAGAAAGAATTTCGAGCACCAAGAAAGTGCCGGGACTTGAGGGTTGTCACGTGTCGGGCCCTGGGAGGCGACACTCCTTCGACATTGTTTCGATCCTCTTCTGGGTTCTCGAAATTATGTATGGGATTTGGTTCTTAGGTACGATGGGAGCAATATCACCCCGCGTGTCCCCCTCCATCGTTGAAAGTAAGTACTTCCGGATCCCCAGACCCCAAGATATTTTGACGCCCTCCTGTTTCAACGATCCAGTGGTTTCCCCTCTTCCTTCCTCGTCGGGGGGCGGGCGGAAGCCAAATTTATTTCCGCGGCTGTCCCACCTCATGCTTCTACCCACTTCTTCCGACCGACGGGTAAGATTATGGTAAGTGGATCCACGACGGAGGAGCGGATGACTCAGCGAGATTGCCGGGGGCCCAGGCATGTTGACTTCCTCTAAACACCACATGACTTGCCCTCTTCTGTGGGAAGCAGTTCTAAGGGTCTGGGTGCCCAGTCAGCCGTTCGAGTTTGATTTTGACATGCCCTGGCACAAGCAAAGCTTGATCGGATGAAGCCTTGGACGTGGCTTGTCAACGTCCCCCTCATAGCGCTCCACACATAGTTACACGATCCGCCGTAATTGAGCACGCGCCGCTAAAGCTCAGCTCCTGGCGCAAGCCGAGGTGCTCTTCGGCTGAGTTTATATTCGTCCCGAGATACGTGAGAGGAGGAAGACGAGATGGAGGAGGAGCGAGGAGCAAGGAGGAGGGAGAAGGCAGGAGGGAGGAGGGAGGAGGAGGGAGGAGGAAATCTGAAGCAGCGCAAGTGCGCGCGGATCGTGACGCACAGGTCTTAAACAGCCGATTCTTGCCGAGACGCGTCTCGCGGACCAGAAGGCGGGTCCCAGAGGCTTTCCGGAGGCTTCCGCGTGTGCACTACGGTACGAGCACATGTCACTACGGGCGGTCGCAACGCGATAGTTCGTGCGAAAGCATGGCGTTGACATGAATTCCTTCTGTGTCCGAGGGACGCGGGGATGCATGAGGACGCGGAGGACCACGTTGAGGAGGAGGAGAAGGAGGAGGAGGAGGAGGAGGAGGAAGAGGAGTGTGATTTAGAAAGAAGGAGCAAGGGAGAGGGAGTTTCCTCCTCCCCTCCTCCTCCCTCGTCCCTGCTACCCCCCTTCACACCTCTTGCCCCTCCGCCCCCCTGCGCCCTCTTCCCTCTCCCCATCCCCCTTCCTCCCGCTCCGCCTTCTCCTCCCTCTTCCACCCTCCTTCGCCTTCTCATCCGCTGCCGCTTACGAGCACCGTCCACACCCCATGGCAAGTTGAGGACGAGGAGAGGCAGCAGCAGAAGCAGGAGGAGAAGAGGCATTGCAGGTGGAGGCGCAGGTGGTAGGGGGGTAGAAGTGGGTCCGAGGAGGAGGTTGAGGATGAGGAGAAGGGGGGAGGCGGAGGAGGACGTTGAGGATTGGGAGGTGGAGGAGCAGATGGATGAGGGGAGGTGGAGGAAGAGCTGCGGGAGGAGTTGGATGAGGCGACGGAGATCGACGAGGCGGGGGAGGCATACGCGCAGGAGGAGCAGGGAGTCCCGGCCCCCCACCCCCTCTTCCCCAGTCTCCCGTGCCGCCCCTGCGGGACGAGTACACCGACCTGGCCCCCCTGCTGCAGGGCGAGACCTGGCAGGAGGCGGGCACCGGCTCCTGCCTATACGCGTACTTCGGGGCGTGGCTTTGGGGGGGGGGGGGGGGGGCGCGCACGGCCCCGGCCCTCGGGCCCTCGGAGGCGGGCGGCAGAGGAGGAGGAGGAGGCTGGACGCCAGCCTCCCGGGGCGCCCGTTGTGTGGCCTCGGCCCGATGCCTCTCGAGGCCCTCCTCGGGCCGCTCTCGGTCGCAAGCTCAGGGGGACGAGGGGCCAGGAGGCCAGGAGGCCAGGAGGCTGGGAGGCTGGGAGTGGAGGGGCGGAAGCGTGAGGGAGGAGGAGAAGCGAGGGTGAGAAATGGGGAGTACGGGGGCATGGAGCAGTAGGTGCGGTCAAGTCGGCGAAATCAAGAACAGTTTGGGCTCGGAAGGGGCTCGATGCTTCTTAGGCCCTTCCGTGTCTTCTCCTCTGGCCCTCCTCGTGCACCCAGGCGCTTCTGGGGCCAAGAAGGGGCCTCGCTCCTCATCCAGCGTCCCTTCTGGCAGCAACTCGACCTGCAGGGGGTGGGGACTGAGGACGTGGCGGCTCGTCTGAGACTCTGAGGGCACGCGCGACGTCGGCTGTGGAAAAAAACAAAAAAGCTTGAAGAATAACACACACACAGAGAAACAACACAACGTGGAAACAAACATACACAAAACACGCCTGTGTGTTTTCCCAAACGCACAGACGTGTTGTTGTCCACTGTGTGTGTTTGTTTCCACAGAGCTCGCCCCGAAGGGCGGGACTGGAGCGCCCCGCCGCCGAAGGGAGCAGGCCGCCCCCCGCCTGGGGCAGCGTGCAGCAGCACCCAGGCAAGAGGCCGGCCCGAGGACCGCGGTTTCGGCCCGGGAGGGGCTTTGCTTCGCAGGCTGCTCTTCGGAGGAGACAGATCGGTGGTTCAAAGATGGGGTCCCGAGGGATGGGGCCCCAATGAGAGGAGGGGATCCAAGGGCAGATTTCGTTTGAGGCACCTCGTCCTCAGGACCCCATTCCTCGGGACCCCATCTTTGAACCCCCGACAAGAGGTGCCGATACCACGCTTCGGGCCTGGGAGGGGCTATGCTTCTCGGGCTGCTTCGACTACACATCAGAGTGACCCTTCGCCGGAGTGACCTTCGGTGCTGGCCCAAAGGGGGTCAGATGATTTTTCTGGACCTCGCGTCGGCACCCGCATCGCGTGATTACGCCCGTATCTGAGCGCGCCATGTTTGGGCCCACCCTTTGCAATCGACAGCAAGCCTACGAGGAGCACTGCTCCTCGGAGGAGAAAGTCAGGCGATCGCAAACATGGGAGTTGCGACGGGTCCCGCTTCTGTGGGAAATCGCAGACTCCCGCCGCCGAACGAGGCGGCATTGGTCGCATTTTGAGGAGGGAGCCTCCCCCGATCCATGGATTTGGCGGCAGGAGAAAGAGGTGCGGTAGGTCCACGTCGTGTCGACCTGCGGCGACCCCGCCGGCGGCGTTCGATGTTGAACGCCGCCAGCGACCTGGAATCGATCGATATCGAACGATCGGACGTTGCGGGAACGACTGATCGTTCAAGGTTGAACGATCCCGGCGGTGTCAGGAGCCAACGCTGGGGTCTACACGACACGAACCCGAGATGCCGATACCGCCGCTGCCCGTCCTGCGTTTTCGCTTTTGGGGGCCCCCTGGGAGGCCCTCGTCGCCACCGCCCGATTCCCCGCGAAGTTCTGGTCGGAACGCACCCTCGGAGAGGTCTGGGGTGCAGCGGTACAGTGGAGAGCCATGCCAAGAAACACCCTGTTTGCCTCCAGGGTGCCCTGGGTTTCTTGGGTTTTGTTGTTGTTGCGATGGAAAGCGTGACGTTCCCACACCAAAAATCAATGGGCGTCCTGGGATCTCAGGGTTTCGGGGGCAACGATAGGTGGGATAGGCATAGGGGGGGACGCATCGACACCCAATCGCTCATTGATCGCCGATACGGTCCCGATAGCCCCAACCTGCCCAGGAAAGTGCGGATTCACTGTCGGAGGCCTATCGCCGATCTGTCGGCGGTGTATCGCCGATTCCAGGTCGATGCGTCCCCCCCTATGCCAGTCCCCCCCTATCGTTGCCCCTCAGGTCTGGGTTTCTTGTGGAAGGTTTCTGGTGGGCTGGCCTCCGCTGCATCGGTACCTCTTTTGGGGGGGATTCCCCAAGGACGGGCTCTGGTGTTCGGGCCGTGCTTCGGGTCCAGTCTTAAGTCGGGCCTGTCCCCCAACAGGAGGAATATTTAAATATAGTCAAAAAAGTAGTCTGGGGACGGCTTTTGACTATGTCGGAGCATGTTTCCATTCTTGGTGTGCATGTTTTGATTTGTCGTCCAAAATCGGCCTATAGGGGGACATGCCCGACCTGAATCCAGTCGGTGGAGCCTTCTCGTGGCCGAGGTTGTCCATGGCCAGAGCAGCCGACTCGTTCTGGCTTCGGCGCTGACTGGTAGCACGGTGGCTGTTTACGCAAGCACGCAGCGGGCCGAGCATGTGGGCATGGATACGGGGACAGCAGGGCTGGACCTGAGCGCTGTTTTGCTGGACTTCGGCTGCGTTTTGTTTTACGCAGCAGGACAGACAATCGGACTAGATCGAGCTCGCTATGGAAGCGGAGCTCGCGCAGCACGGGGCTGGGCCAGTAGTCCCGCAGACGTGGAGAATATTTACGAGGCCGCTCTAGAGGACGCACGCTTGGGAGCTGCAGCGGGCTTCGCAACTGCTTTCGGCGGGGACAACCACGTGATGCACATGTGCCCGCAGTGCGGGACGGCCCGCTCTCAAGCCGAATGAGCGCGTGCGCTTTGCGGTGCCAGCGTAGTGGGGCGAGCCAGGGAGGCCACCACAGGAGGCCACTGGAGGTGCGTGCGCAAGTGATGCGGCCGCGGGTGGTCGGAGAAGGACACCGACGCGCGGGAGTCGTGCGTTATCATCTTCCCGTCGCATCCCCAAGGAGGGCGGCATGGAGCTGGCCAGCGACGGGGAGGTCAAGCGCATCGAGCAGACCAAGGAGCGCAAGCCGGAGGACCAGGCGCTGATGGTCCATTTCGGCCACGGCAGCCTAGAGCAGGAGGGTACCCTGACGGCAGAGAGGACGAGGACGGCCAGGCTGGCGCCCACCATTTGCACCATGCAGGGGGGCAAGATCCCCCTGGACGGACTGTTGAAGAGGGAGCTCGATGCGGTCATGGGCGCCATCGACGCCAAAAACGAGAAGGACCACAAGAAACTCATCCAGCCCGCGTTTACATCCTCAGAGGAGGAGTCATCGCGGACAAGCCCGGAGAGCTGAACGCCCGCGCTTAATGCGATGACTCGCGCCTCTCCCAGGACAAGTTCACGGGCCACAACCGCGCCTTCTGCCCGCCTGTGGGCTGTCACATGCTGGACTCGGCGGATCGCGATGCAGCGGTCAGCTCCCTGCCCCGTTCTTTGATATCTCGGAGCCCACGGGTAGCCCGAAGGTCAAGACGGGCAAGAAGGAGCGGCAGTTGGCGGGCCGTGGGAGCGCGCGCTCGAGCGCCAGCAACAGGCCGCAGAGAGCCTGATCGAGCGCCACAGCAGGCTCAGATCGAGAAGGCTCGGCGGGGCTTGACGAGACGCTCAGGCAACAGCAGCGGCGGCGCCCAGCGCGACCCGTCGGGGCCAGAGCGCCGCCGTCGCACAAATTGAGTGGCCGCCGCACAGCCTGAGGCAGCGGGCTACCGCGAGGTGACGGCGCGCCACGTTCCCAGCCGACCGCGAGGAGCGGGCGGCGCAAGGTTCAGCGTTTGCACGCGCGACGCTGGGCTCCATGCGACCCTTCGGGACGGGGGTCTCGCCGGCGCGAGCCCGCGCGAGAGAGCCGCCGCGCGACCCGGAGTTCAACCCCACGTCGGGCTGAGGGCAATAGGGCCGCGCGCGGCTGTAAAGCCCTTCGCCCTTTGTTTTTTGGCCATGCGGGAACTCAAAAGGGTGCGTGCCTATGGGATGGCCCCGAGCCCCCGTCGACCAGTGGACACTCTCCCACCGCGAAAGCGCGCGCGCGCGCCCCTTCCGCAGCGGGCGGGGGAAGGACCCTCGACGAGGGGCGCGCCCTCGCGGAAGGGACGCGTCGACGAATGGGGGGCGGGCAGGGCTGCGCGGCCGCGCAATGCGGCCTCGTTGAGGGTCCCATGGGGGGCGGGGGCCGCGCGCGCCCCCCATCTCGCTGATCGTCGCACGATCGGGACAGCGGAGTCGTCGCGCGATTTGCAGCCGCTTGCTGCGTGGGGGCTGGGGCCACGCTGGCCTCCGGCATGGTCCATCTGAACGCGCCTCACAGTCCGCCCCCTCTTGAGGCGCGTGTGAGCCTCGCGGGGGGCCAGCAGGAGGTCAGAGAGGGGGGCCGAGGAGGAGGAGGAGGAGGAAATGCAGGAGGAGGAGGAGGAGGAGCAGGAGGAGGAGGAGGAGGAGGAGGAGGAGAAAGAGGAGAAAGAGGAGGAGGAGGAGGAGGAGGACGATGAGGAGGAGGAGGAGAGGAGGAGGAGCGAGGAGGAGGAGGGAGAGGAGGGAGGGAGGACGGAGGAGGAGGAAGAGGAGGAGGAGGAGGAGGAGGAGGTGGAGGAGGGTGAGGAGGAGGAAGAGGACGAGGGAGGAGGAGGACGAGGGAGGAGGAGGAGGAAGTGGAGGAGGAGGAAGAGAGAAGAAGAAGAGAGGAGGAAGAGGAGGAGGAGGAGGAGGACGACGAGTAGGAGGAGGAGGGGAACGTGGGGAAGGAGGGGGGCCAGCGCCTCCCTTCCTCCTCCCTTACCGCCCCCCCCCCCCCCAAAGACAAATCGGCGACGACGCGGCGGTGCTGGCTTCCCCGCGCGCGCGGGTGCGCGAGCACCACTAGTCCAGCATGGATGGATGCTGGGCATTGGCGCTGGGTGCGGCGCGACCTCACGCACAGGGCGGGGGTCAAGGCCGAGTCTCTCCAAGACATGTTTGCCGCCCCTCAGACCGAGGCCGATGAGCAGATCGTCCTCAACTCGTGGCCCGACGATGTGGCCAGCGAGGCGCTCACACTGTAGCCCAGGCGCGTCCAAGACGAAGTGCGCCTGGAATGTGCCTGCGCTAAGGCGCGGCGTCGTCTGGTGAGCCTTGGGCGGGTGCTGGCGCGTGGGCCTGCTCCCGTGAGGCGGAGGGGGCTCGTCTGCCCCCGCGTGCACGGCCTTCGACGGCCGTGCGGCAGTGCTTCTTGCAGCACGATCTGCATGAGGTTGCGGATGGCCGCGGGCGGCGCGTTCGTGCCTGCATGGATTCCAGAGCTGGAAGGCTGGCATGGCCTCGGAGTGCGGGCGCACGGCGCCCGAGAGCTGGAGCGACCTACGAGAGCTCGCGGCTACCCACGTGCTGTGGGGTGCGGTGATCGGCCCCAGGGGCACATCGCCTGATCAGGGCAATGTCATGCGGTGCTGTGTCCAGTGTGCACACTACGCTCAACTGCAGCCGCGCGGTCTGGCGCAACTGTGCCCAGCCCAGCGCCAAGGCTTTGTCTTCGACAAGGTAGGCAAGGAACGGCGGGGCCGTTTCGAGCGTGGCTTCCACCCGCGCTCAGGGCGCTAGGAAATTGTTCTGCAGAGCTGGGCTTTCCACGACCTTGGTCTCCTCACTCACCAGAGTGAGTTGGCACGCTGGGCGCTCACAGGCGGAGCACAACACCACCCAGTCATCCCTCATCCCCCGTCCGCCCTGTTCTACAATTACTCAATATGAATACTACTCTCCCTCTTCCCCCGATGGCGGCCTGAAAGTATTAGACCCCTCCACGCGTCCTGCTTTTTTACACACAGGATTCCCGG